CTCAGGTCCCTCAACTTTGATCTTGTACGATTCGTTTCTCATTTGACTTTTATATCTATTTTGCCCTCTATGAATTGTAGCCCATGTCTCCAAATTTCAGCACTTGTGCACTTTGGTCCCTAACTTCACGGTTCTGTATGCTTTTGGTCCATTTTCAATCCCTTTTTACTTGTTCTCTAACCTTTTGGGATTTATGACCTACAAACGTTAAAATTATCTAATATCAGTCAATATTTGCTCAATTTAATCAATAATTAGCTTGTTAAAGTATCTAATAAGTGTGCAAAAACACACCTATCAATGGTAGTCAGAGAAAACTTTGATCATACGCTCCTAGATAATGAAAATCTAATAAATGTTCAATATAGAAGCGTTTTTGATTGAATGCAAACATATTATCCATGTATCCAAGTGTTGGAGCCTCACAATTCCATCAAAGGAGGTCAAGTCACTCATAAATAGGTAGTCTGCTAGTAAAATTAGGTAAGGAGCCCTGAGCATAATAAGATAAATGAATTTCTATGTTTGGATGAAAAGTCAACTTATGACGGAATTCTTGGGCAGCCTACTATTAGACAAGAAAAAGTAAAAATAACCCTTCACCGGTTATGTGTTAAATTCTCCACTAGTAGGGGCGGGGCTTCTATAAGATAAAGTCAGGAAGTTGTGCGAGAAAATCACCTTATGATCTAAGGGAGACAGTCTCATGAGTTTTCCATGAGCATATAATAGCAATCGTAGAAACAAGTAACCTTGGTAAAAAATTAGAGATCGATAACTCAATCGACCATCACATAATTGATTATATTTTGAAGCAACGGCAGCTATCAGAAAGTTTCCCCACTAGCAAAGATGACGAAACTATATCTTTAAAAATTGGCAATGAATTGATTGAGCGTATGAAAAGCCTGTTGAACATTTTCTTGAAAACGAACATTGATGTGTTTGCTTGCAAACATGTTGATATGGTAGGCATAGATCCCAGAGTGGCTTGATATTCCTTGAAAATCAACCCCAAAGTAAAGCCTAAATACAAAAAATTTTATTGCTACATAGGAACAACATAGTAAGTGAGAATGTTATTAAATGTTATATGCATGTTGATAGGGAGAATATTACTTGAAATATACAAAATTATTCTCCTGATTATTTGATGCCGATTCAATTTGTTCAATATTTATTTTGCGAAAATCATCTCGTTTGTCATAATCAAAAAGGGGGAAATTGTTGACCTAATGGTTGACTTCTTGTTTTGATTATTACAAACAAATTGCGTTTGATTCTAACAAATTGAATTTAAGTAATTGATAGTGATTATTGCAAATTTATGGCACGAAAGATCTAGATCGGAATCATGCAACCTTGGCGCAAAATGATATACATACAAATTTTACGAACAAGGAAATGGAAATCGAGCTTTCACGCACCAAATTGCATTGGATGAAGAAATTGAAGACATTAGCTATAGATGCATTTGTATACTCAAGTGTAAAGGTAAAACAATTTAAATTTCGTATCGATTATAGTTCAAACAATTTTTATGCACGGGAATTATCATGACAAACTTTACTTGCATAAAAATTATTTTCAAAAGATAAGTAATTTGATTTTCACAATAAAACCTTTATGAAATTATTTATCTATATGAAGTACATAAGAAAACCGTTCAAGTACCTTAAAGGAATTTTTTTCACGAAAAAGGAAAATTCGATGGGAAAATAAATGGCCCATCCGGACGTCCGGATGCGATGTCCAAAGGTCATATTTTTTAACCGTTTGGAAAACTGCTAGTTAATCGTCCGGATAACAAGCGAACGTCCGAATCACTTTTCCGGATCTCCTGATTGATGGCTATAAATACCTCTCTTTATACCTCTTTTAAAGTAAGCTTTTAGAACATTAAAGAGAGTTAATTATTGATTTTATCTACCTTTTTTTTTCAATCTTTAAGAGATCAAAATATCCATTTGTTGAAAAACTTTTTGAGCAAGTAACTTTTTGAAAAATCATATATCTCAATAAAAGTTTTTCACTCAACACTTGAGTTATATTCCTTGAGATTTATTGAAGTGTTTGTGCCTAATTCTCTCTTAATATTTAGTTGTATTCATACCATTTGTTAAGAGAGAAACCTTTCAATTGTAACTTTAATTTTCTTGTGGGTCGAGTTGAGGTCCCGAAAAGCTCAACGTGTAAAAGGATTGGTGCTCCTTAGTTGCAAGTCACCGGAAGCATTGTAAGGGTTGGATTGGACCGTAAGTCAATCAAAGATAGTGAAAAAGGCCTTGCTCGTGACAGAGAGTTTGGTAACGGGGGACGTAGATCGTGATTGGATCGAACCTCCTTATTACATCGTTTGCACTCTCTTTTCCCTTCCTCTTATTACTTTTGTGTTGTCTTGTTTATTCATAGTTATTTGCTTAAATTTGTATTTATTTAGAAAAAGTTTCAAATAACCAATTCATCCCCCTATTGGTTAGTTATTCTTGGGCCTTCAGTACTAACAAAAAACTTGGACAATTTAACGTAGAATGTGAGCATGATACACCACCTAGCACCAGTCTATGGGGGTTGTCGGGCAGATCATACAACTGCAAGTTGTACTTTAGTCTCCAAGCATGTTTATCAATCTAAGGAGGATAGTTATATACAGAATATTCAGAGATAGCAGAACAATCCGTACTCCAACACTTATAATCCAATTTGGGGCAAGCCTCCTAACAACTTCTTATGGGCTAATGACCAAGGACATCGATATCAAATTTAGGGAAACCCATAATAATTTCAGCAGCAACAGGAGAACATGTCATCTTTGGATGATCTACTTGCTAAGTATATCACCAAAACTGAGGTTGCAATCCAGAACTAGCAAGCTTCTATTCAAAATTTGGAAAATCGGATGGGGCAACCAACAACTGCATTGGCCAATAGAACACAGGATACATTGTCAAGTGACACAGAAAAGAACCCAAGGGAACGGGTATTATTAGTTGAAGTTGCAAATCACGCAATTATTAAGGGACCATCAACCAAGCATGCGAACCCTATTCCAGTTTATGTGCCACCTATCCCATTCTCTCAAAGGCTTCAAAGACAGCCCTAGGCTATCACAATGAGAAGCGGAGTTCAACTGCCGAAAACCACGATGAAAAAAGGAGACCAAGGAGAATCAAGTACTTGCCACGAGGGAGGAAAAGTAGGTCAATTTGAAAAATCATCAAGTGTTAATCAAGAAAAACAGTAAGACAATTCAAAAGTTAAAGCAATCGTTCTCGTCAATAAATACACACCTTTAATCCCAGTTACTCACAAGCTATAAAATAATAAGCTGGACAAATGATTCAAGAATTTCTTAAATGCCCTCGGACAACTTCAGATCAACATTCCTTTCATTGACGTCATTCTACAAATTCCAAATTATGCGAAGTTTTTAAAGGAAATGTTGACTAAAAAAAGAAAACTGCTAGAAGATGAAATAGTAACATTGACTGAAGAGTGCAAGACAATCATAAAGCAAATGATCCCTCCTAAATTAAAAATTCAGGGAGTTTCACTGTACCTTACTCTATCAAAAATTTACATAATTTAAATGCTTTAATTGATTCTGGAGCAAGTATTAACTTGATGCCACTATCTATCTATAGAAAATTAGGATTGGACGATCCAAAGACACTCAAAAATCCTACACTGGCTGCCAGGACATTTAGGGGCTGTTCTCTTTCCCGTTTTCAAGTCGTTTTCTATTTTCAATTTTTCAAAACGATGAAAATGCGTTCTTTTTCCCATTTTCGAAAACCAGTTTTTGAAAACAAAAAAATGAATTACACTAAAAACACAAAACGACTAAAAAGATGTTTTGGACGTTTTGAAGCCAAAACCATGAAAAAGTAGAAAACACGGGAAATGCCTACATTAAAACCCACTCGTGACCTTCTCTCTCAGATATTCTCTCTCTCCCCGTCTCCTGTAAGATCCGTTCCAGTATCTTCTAGGGTTTGCTCTGCCTTCGCCCAAACAAGTCCGACGAATAGCTACACTCACCGATTTAGCTCCTCAGAACACCTGAGAAATTGCGTGAAGAGGTGAAAATTTCTGTCAAAATTTCTCATATTTTGTGCAAATTTCTGTCAATTCAAGCCTCTGCGGCTTCCATGGGGTAGGGACCTAATGCCTTCTTCTTTTGGGTTTTTCATTTTAGCTATGAGATCATATTGCTCGCTGAATGAATCTTTTTATTGCTAGAATTTTGCACCTTTCTTTTGCTGTTTTACTTATAAATGGTTTAGTTCCATTGCTTTTTCTAGGCGTGCGTGTGTTGTGCCGCGGGGTGGGGAGATATTAATCAAATTAGCGATTGAGTTAGCCATGGAAATGATTTCGTAATCTTTCGCAATTGAGGATTCTTGATAATATGAGGCACGATTATGTTGCCTATGACTGGATACAGGATGAATGCAACAGATATTTAAATTTATGTTGAAAGTTTCCAAGTGTTTGATAGAAGTCCCCAATGGCTTCATCTTTTTTATTTTTATTTTTTACTTTCACTCTTCCATCGTTTTAGTTCATTTGCTTCCTAGAATACTATTCTGACTGATGAATCACTAGACAAAAAATAATAACCCACCAATGTTTCTAAGAGCTGCTATCCTATGCTTAGTTCGTCAACCCTGATTGTCTCTTTAATCTCAAAACTCTGCAACTTCTGTCCATCATCTACCCATCCTTTGATCCATCTCGGGATGTTTTTGGTAGAAGAGGAAATGGTTGGAAGCTTGTAATTGAACTGCTCCTTTTTATTCCATTTTGGCTTTTTGATAGAATATGAAACGAAGTCTTCCATTTCAAATTAAATGGAATGACGTCCTGACAATCTTGCTCTACTTTTCTACTGTAGAATTCTTGAATCTGGCTTTAGATCTTTATATTTTGTCAGCATATTATAGGACGGCATTATGCTTCAATCATACAATCTTCAATAAAATACTGTTACACGTAAATCGAAATTTTTTCCTTCTTTTTCAACCACTCATTTTTCTAAATGTGATGTTGACATGTGATTTTGATATGAAATTCACATTTGTGTATTCTGGTTGGGAAGGTACTGCTAATGATTCACGAGTATTTGTTGACGCTGTCACAAGGAGCTCAAACAATTTTCCAATGCCACGAGGAGGTATATTCTTATACTTCAAATAATTATTGCGAATTTATTTACAGTCACACTATGTAAGCCTTTTTTTCATTTTGCAGATCAATTTTACCTTGTTGATTCTGGATATCCAAATATGCCTGGATTTCTTGCCCCTTATCGAGGTCAAAGATATCATCTACGTGACTATGTTGGACGGGGAAGATTACGTGGGAAGGAAGAATTGTTCAACTATAGACACTCATCGTGCCGTAACATTATTGAACGTTGCATTGGAGTTTTAAAGGCAAGATTTCCTATTTTGAAGTTGATTACCAACTATCAATTTAGTAGGCAAAGACAAATTCTTACTGCATGTTGCGCAATAAACAACTTTATTCGTCAGGAGCACGCTTTAGATAAGTTGTTCGTACAGTATTCGGAGGAAAATATGGTGTTTCAGGATATCCCGGAGTCAAGTCAAGATCAAGAAGTCATAAATTTTGATGCTAGTCAAACAGCTCAAATGGGACAAGTTAGGGATCAAATTGCTACACAAATGTGGAATGACTATTCAAGACGTCGTATATGATTTTGTGGATGTAGTTTATATTTTGTTAGTGTCTACTTGTTTTGTAATGACACATAAACTTCGAAAAATATCTATTGAATTATTCGTATTCAGGATTTTGAATTATTCTAGTGCTTTCTCATGATTTGAACTGTGTTAAATGTTGTCTTCTGGTAAACAAGTGAATTATTTTGAAAGAGTGCATATTCGGGAAAGCTTAAAGTAAATTGTTGGGCTAAAATTGAAGTAGGTTACTAGTTTAAAATGGAAATAAAATTCAACGGCTAACATGAATTAATTACATAAAGTTCAACTAATACTATATTTAATATTATATTAGCATTAAACTATTCACATTTGTTGAATATCAGATTTTTTGAATAAAATATTATTAAAAAAAATTTCTCAAAATTTCAAAGTAAACGCGTTTTTCAATTTTATGTTTTCAGAAACAGTTTTCCAAAATGACAAAAAGAACGTATTTTCAGCAATTTTAAAACAGACACTCAAAACACAAAACTCAAAATGATTTCAAAACTCAAAACACAAAACCGAAACACAAAGAGAACATGCCCTTAGTTATTTTGGAACAATAACCACGGAGTAGGTATTCAAAAAATAAAAGCAATTAGCAACCAAAGCACTATTGGTGATAGCTGACGACATCACCAACTCCACTATTATTGGTAATTGCCAACAGAGGTTAATCGTCGATTATTTTGTTTGTTAGTAATTTCATACGAATCACAAACAACTATTGGTTTTTGCCAAGTATTGATGATTATTCTATTGGTGATCATTTTTTCCAGTAAATTTTTTATGATTATTCTCGAAAAGGCCCTCTTTTGCCTAAGCCTCCCAAGTTGTTTAAGTTGCCTCTGAATGCAATATTTGTATAAATTCGTTATAATGAAAAAGAAGATTGCATATATTTTATCTATAATAAAAAAAGGTCCATTCTGACCTCAATCTGGTGCACAACTCGCAATCTTGACCAGTTGACCTAATATCATGACATTATACTTAATATCAAATTTTAATTAATTGAAAAATAAAGAGATTATTCGTTAAAGATAAAAATAAGTCTTCCGAATAAAAAAATTAAACGTAAATCATTTTTTGAAAATTTAATCGAGAAAATGGGTTAAATATTAAAATAATAATAATAATAATTTGGATTGCAATAGGAAAACTACACTAAACTTTAAAATATTGTTAAAAGATTACTAAATTATGTCAAAATGCTCTCAATTCATAACTAGTTAGGAAAATTAGATGGCAACTTTTGGCATGCATGAAATTTGTCTACCACGTAGACAGGTCCAACGAAGTCAACTAATGAAATTTAAACGAGTGATAGATGAACAATCATAGTGACAACAATATTGATGTGATCAAACAAGTTTAAGTAGTCGTTTTGAGTGAAGGTCGAAAGAAAAGTTAAGTGTATATATATAAACAAAACATTGTACTGAACACGACGTTGGCACCTGTCAGGCAAATAGCTGTTTTGGGTGAAGGTCGAAGGAAAGGTCAAGAATCATGTGAATAGGTATTGCAAGGAAGATAAAAAGACAATAGAAGGGTGAAACTTGGATTGACTGATTTGAGGTGAATTGAGAAGAAAGAATGCGTGTTCTGTGTATGACCTGAATTGAAGGGGGACAGCTTTAAAGGTACGTGGATATCCCAACAGACTCACGCCTTAAGTAGCACTGATTTCGGGTTGTCTCTCTGCCCCTCTGTGCACAGAGACATACTTCCTCCCTCTACCATTAGATGCTAAATGCCCTCTCTATATTTATTGGACAGTGCCAACACTATGACCTTCACCCCATTCCCCCAAAAAATCCCTTCTCTCCAAGAACGTAACTTTCTGAATCGACAATTTCTCTCTCTCTCTCTCTCTCTCTCTCTCTAAATGAAATCTTTCTGCCTTGACTATTCCTTTTATTATTTCTTGGAGTTTGGCCATGCACAGTTTCCTACAAGGTTTGGGAGTGGGGCGGGTGGGGTTGGAAAACAACGTATCAACAACATTTCTTACACCTTGTCTTTTTTCTTTCTTAATTATTACTACATGCCAATTTGTCTCCCTCGTGCACCGACTGTGCCCGTTAAATATTTAATTTCGCACACAGTATAACTATTTGTTTGCACAGTGTTAATTTACAGGGTAACAGAAATTTTCATGTTTGAGTTTGAATTCGAGGTTAGTACAACTTTTACTATTTGGTCAAGTTGTAACAATCGAGAAAAATTTTGCATTTCGATTTTAAAAAAAAAATTTGTAGAAATTGAAAAATAATTTGAATTATATTACTAAGTCGTTACGACATTTTCTAAGAGTCCAAATTAGAGTTTTGATCATGATAATAAAGTTGCACGCACTTATCTTAAAATGTTTGTAAGGTGTCGAATCTTTACAAATTTTTATTTTGATCTGATTACGTTATTTTTGAAGTCACATTTTATTTAATTGCACCTATATTAAGTCCTTGAAATTTAAAATTCGATACACTTCCTGAATTGAATTGTGCCAAATAATCCCACATTCAACCACGTTATCTTGATTTCTTCTAACACCTATCAACCCAGAATCTGATTTTCTCTCCACTAAGGCACCCCACTTAAATATTTTACCGTCTACCCATTTTACCATTTTAATTCCATTTTGGTAAACTGACAGAAACCGTCCCTTTTTTCATTTCAATTGAAAATGTTATCTTCTGCTGCTCGTGTCGCATGTTTTCTCTCACACATCACAACTATAAACATATAAATTTCACTTACCCTTTTTTCATAGTCTAAACGCAACTTTGAGTCTGAAAATTATCTAAAGGATAGGCTAGTAGCACGCTGCATTTTGTTACAAAATGGTCACAAAAAGGGTACTCGAACTCCAAACATTTGAGGTACGGTATTTTCAGCACTTTTGTACGTGAAGTAAAAGTTATTTATTTTTAATTTGCATTAAATGTATTATTGTGTTACTCATAAGAAAAAGGAAGCACCCTTTGCTTGTTCGAATAAGATATGAAGAGGATGATTTTTGGTACTTGAAAAGGGTTATCAAAATCTAAGAGAAAGTGAACTGACAGATCATTGGTTCACTTTGCAAAATTGATGGTGATACAAATAACCAAAATTTGCATTTTTGAAAAATATATATAATTTTTTTTTCCGACTGAATACTTCCGACTGAATATTACTTGTGGTACTCATCCCCTACAAAAATTTTTTTTTTTTATGAAAGTAGCTATAATAAATAAATTAATAGATAACATACATAAATCCTTATATTAACATTATTTTGTAAAACTGGAAAAATAGACTACAAAAATCAAAAAATTGAGTAATTCAGGGCAAAAAATATGAACAATAAAAAAGTAAACACCCCTAAATGGTAATTCTATCGATGATCATTTTTTTTCCAATAAATTATTTATGATTATTCTTGAAAAGGCCTTCTTTTGCCTATGCCTCCCGAGTTGTTTAAGTTGCCTCTGGATGCAGTATTTCTATCTACTTATTTTTTTTACAAAAATTCGTTAAAACAAAAAAGAAGATTATATGTATTTTATCTACAATAAAAACGAGGTCCATTTGGACCTCAATCTTGTGCACAACTCCCAATCTCAACCAGTTGACCTAATATCGTGACATTATGCTCAATATCAAATTTTAACTATTTGAAAAATAAAGAAATTATTCGCTAAAGATACTTTGAAAAAATAAGTCTTCCGAATAAAAAATTAGACATAAATCATTTTCTGAAAATCTAATCTAGAAAATGGGTCAAATATTAAATAATAATAATAATAATAATAATAATAATAATAATTTGGATTGCAAAAGTAAAACCACACTATATTTTAAAATATTGTTAAAAGATTACTGAATTATGTCAAAATGCTCAAAATCCATAACTAGTTAGGAAAATTAGATGGCAACTTTTGGCATGCATGAAATTGGTCTACCACGTAGTCAGTTCCAACAAGGTCAACCAACGAAATTTTAACGAGTGATAGATGAACAATATTTTGACAAAATTCAGTAATGTTTCTGAAACATATTAAAATTTGATGAGATTCTAGTGACATAACCAATATTCAATTATATTTTAAATAATTAATTCAAAGTTTAGAATTTTTTATATAGGCTAGTCGAATTAGTACACATTCTTTTACCCATCTAATTTTATATATATAAACAAAACATCATAGTGACAACAATATTGATGTGATCAAACAAGTTTAAGTAGTCGTTTTGAGTGAAGGTCGAAAGAAAAGTTAAGTGTATATATATAAACAAAACATTGTACTGAACACGACGTTTGCACCTGTCAGGCAAATAGCTGTTTTGGGTGAAGGTCGAAGGAAAGGTCAAGAATCATGTGAATAGGTATTGCAAGGAAGATAAAAAGACAATAGAAGGGTGAAACTTGGATTGACTGATTTGAGGTGAATCTGAGATATATATTCATGAAGATGCACCTCCACCTATTTCAGACGATGAGGGATAACCTTCCAAGAAATGTAGGGTTCATGGAGGCTGGATTAGTGATAATGATGACAATGATGAATAGTGTTGTGGAATTTTTTATTAGGTTTAGTTGTTTTCAATATCAAGTATATTCTTTTCGCTTTTCTATTGATTGGCGTCAGACCCTCTTTTATTATTTTATATTCCTTTTGAAGAATTCTTTTAAGATAATAATAAAAGATTTTGAGCTGTAAATTGTTTCCCTATTTTGTGAAAAGTATTGTTGACTCCTCTAGATAAGATTACAATTATTTATGTTTATAGGAATATGACGCATGCGGGGACAATTAGTGAGTTAAGGTGGGAGATTGATGAGTTAAAGCAAGCTTTGGCTGCTTAGGCTCTACCTCCAGCACATCAGTCTCCACAGACCCTTAGGCAATGTCAGTCTCACCAACATACTTACCTACACTGCTTAGTCCAATCGTAGAACAATTTCAATGATATTGATCTTCCACTTTAGATGGCATAAAAGA